CTCCCTCATGGCTTGTCTCAGACAGCTCCTGTTTTGAAGGTTCTACCTTTTACCTCACCTTTTGGTGTCATTGGCTGGTTTTTGTTGAATCCGATAAAACCAATTTACATATAAACATGTGAAAGTTAAAGACCTAAATTGTATGGTTTGAGATGTTTTGAAGCCTTTTTGTGTTTCCATTTTGCACTTTCTCTCTAGAAGTAATTTCTGGTTTTGCAGATGGTTTATTGGTTATTGAACTTTGTGGTACTACTGGCTTATGTTTTTAGGTTAGAGATTGGTACTTGGATTCTTTCCGAGACCTTAGGTCTTTCCCTGAGATCAAGGATATGGATGATGAGAAAGAATTCACAGAGATGATTAAGGCTGTGAAGGTGAGACACAACAATGTGGTTCCTACAATGGCCTTAGGTGTTCAGCAACTGAAGATTGTTTATGAGGATCCTAATGAGATTGATGAGTTTCTTGATCGCTTCTACATGTCAAGAATAGGAATCAGAATGCTCATAGGTTAGTTCCAACAACACACTTTCTAACCTTCTGTCAGACTAATCTATGTATCTGCTTCACAATTTATAGCTCATTTTCATTTGATGGATTCAGGGCAGCATGTTGAGTTGCACAACCCCAACCCACCTCAAAATTGTGTTGGTTACATACACACAAAACTGTCTCCCATGGTTGTGGCTAGGAATGCCAGTGAAGATGCTCGTGCCATGTGTTATCGTGAATATGGCAGTGCCCCAGATGTTAACATTTATGGGGATCCTGAATTTACTTTTCCGTTAGTATCAGTCCTTTTTCTTGTGTGAATTCACTTGCCTTCTATTCTTCATAACACCCTTCTTATGTCTAGTGCATCAAATGGTCTGCTATCTTTCCTTTTTCTCTCTAGAATTCTGTCTTTTTTCTTTAGGTATGTTTCAGCTCACTTGCACCTTATGGTATTTGAGTTGGTTAAGAACTCACTGCGTGCTGTGCAAGAGCTTTTTATGGATTCTGACAAAGTTGCTCCTCCAATTAGAATAGTAATAGCTGATGGAATAGAGGATGTTACCATAAAGGTGAGTTTCCATCATCGACATGCCTTTTGTTCTTTCTATTGGGGGCTTTTTACTTGCATAATCAAAGTGCTTTGTGTTTAACTAATGACATGTTAGGTCTCTGACGAGGGAGGCGGAATAGCAAGAAGTGGTCTTTCAAAAATTTTTACATATCATTACAGTACAGCCAGAAATTTATCGAATGAACCTGAACCTGCTGATCTTGGAATAGCTGGTAATGCACCAATGGCTGGAAATGGTTATGGACTTCCTATTTGTCGCTTGTATGCTAGGTATTTTGGTGGTGATCTTCAAGTAATATCTATGGAAGGATATGGTAAGTGAACTATTACTCATTAGATTTTCACTTAAACTTCTTTCCAATTCCAACATTCTACTTGGCTAAAGTATTTGTTTCTTCTTACCTTGACATATGAACTGTTACAGCTACCACTAAGGTTATATCTTTTTTGACGTGTACCAAATACTTTATGAAAATTATTCGTAAGGGGACTTGTTCAATATCTCAAAAATATAAAATGTGGACAATACTTCAATTTAGTTCAACAAATCTAGAATTCCTTTTGAAATGTTATACCTTGCACCTGCACTTAACTGATTTTTATATTGATTAATTCATAGGTTTGTTCTTTGCAGGAACTGACGCATATCTCCATTTGTGTCGTTTGGGAGACTCTCAAGAACCTTTGCCCGAATAAATACCAAAACTATGTAACATTGACAGTGAGAACTATTAACAGTGATTTAGTAATTCTTTCTCTTTAACCACTGACAGAGAACTACTTTTAATAGTGAGTTAGCCGTTATATTTTACAAAAAAGTTTGTATCTCTGATATTTCTAAGTCCAATTGCATTCCCATTCCACATATTCAGATTAGTCACAAGGTAAGTTCTAATTCCTACCTCCAAAATGTGGGAGTTCATACAAATTTATAAAGATGCAAGGCTTAATCCATATAATATGCTTACCAGATATCATTATTGAAAATTTCATTGGTACATTAAAATTAATTACTTAATTGGTAGGGTGTGCCAGACTCAAGCTGTAGTGTAATGCTTGAGAGACACTTGAAATTCCCAGTAGCAAGCCACTGTATTGGAATCTCCCCTTTAAAAAATTAATTTAATATCGTGTGGACCATTGGTCCACATATCAGATATTAAACTGATAAGAACAGATACTACACTTGATCTTAGCCAAAAGGCCGAGAAAGGTATGAAGATTTAAGAGAAGGAAAATTCTTTTTATAAAAAGCCTCAGAGAGACTCTTCTATGATCCAGGCGGTATGGGACTTCTTACTGCAGTCAACACTATGCACCAGATACCTCTGTTCCTTATAAGAATTCTCTTCAATATTCCAAAGTATCTTCTGCCTCATGATGAGTTAAAATTAAATAGCCTTATTTTTTAATGGTGAGATTACTGTCTGGGAGCACTCTTTATTCACATTTAGGCCTCTATATAGTTAAGTTTTGAAGAGACAAGAACCAAATGGGGAAACTTTTTGCTACTGATATGTAATAGAGATATGATCCAGTATGTCAGTTTTATTTTATAGAAGTACAAACATTTATAGCTTAACTGATGATTAGATGCATAGATATACGTTAAACATACTGTTTGCTTTCGGATTTAAATGAAATGTACAGGATTTATACATTTTAAGAAAAGAAGAACAAAACTTGGTAACTGATCACAGTTGTAGTTACCAATAGTCTCTACATGAACACTCTTCATTACTAAAATGGTGGAAACGATTTCTATCCCTTATTATTATATCACAATCATAAACCTTCGAGATCAGTTTACTTGCTTGATGACAATCTTTACAAATCCTCAGATTCTTGGTGACACGTAGGGTCTCCCCTCGTTTAGTCTTCAACAAACCATAAGCAATTGCAAGTTTTTCACTGTGGTAGAACAGAGGATTCTCCCTTTCCTCCTCAACAAGATCATGCAACACACCATCTGTATCAGGAAGATAATCAACAACCCTGATTGCTTCCAACATCTCATAAACCTTAGCATATAAAGCCTCAGCCAGAGGATGATCTCTTCCCCCTGCAACAAATTCATTCACCACTCCCTCCATTTCTATCATGGAAAATCCCGGTTCCTTCTTCACTCCCCTGTCATTCATCAATTTCCTCACACCAGCAACTTCATCCCATTTTCCACAACTAGCATAGATATTACCTAGTATCACGTATCGCCCACTATTTCCAGGATCTAGTTCAATCAGTCTCTCGCCTACCTCCTCCCCCAACTCCAAATTCCCATGAATTCTACATGCTCCGAGAAGTGCACCCAACACAGCAGCATCAGGACTCATAGGCATCTCATCTATCACCTTTTTCGCCTCCTCTAACCTTCCAGCTCTGGCAAGCAAATCAACCATGCAACCGTAATGCTCCTTGCTGGGTTCAATGCCATGAACATCAACCATGTAGCTAAAGTAATAAAACCCTTCCTCAACCAAACCCGAATGAGCACAAGCAGTAAGAACATTCACAAAAGTGATGTCATCAGGCACAACCATTCCTTCTTCCTCCATCTCCCTAAAAAGCCTAATTGCATCCTTTCCTTTGCCATGCATTGCAAACCCCCCAATCATGCAATTCCATGAAGAAACTCCTTTCACTTCCAAACCACAAAAAACTCGAAACGCCTTGTCCAAACAACCACACTTGCAATACATGTCAACAATAGTTGTGCCAAGCTTTGAATCCAACAGAATCCCATTCCTCTCAACACATCCATGTATCCATTTCCCTTGCTCTAATGCCCCCACTCCCGTGCAGGCAGAGAGCATAGTAGCAGCCACAAACCTATCCACCTCCACCTCCTCCACCCTCATCCTCCGAAACAAATCAAACGCCTCACGAAACCGGTTGCTCTTGACAAAACACGCAATCATGGCGTTCCAAGAAACGCCATTCTTGGAAGGCATGAGTTCAAAAACACGAAAAGCCTCGTCCACGAGTCCCCACTGAGAGTACCCAGAAACAAGGCTCGTCCAAGACACGACATTTGGATGAGGCATGGTGTAAAACACCTTCCTGGCATCATCCAAGGACCCAAAAGCGAAATACACGTGGATCAAGTTGTTAAGAGCGAAGGTATCTGCTCCAAACCCGAATTTAAGAACGTGTGCATGGAGCTGTTTAACTTGTTGTTGGAGTCCGCAGGTCCTTATGAGAGAGGGGAAGGTGAAAGAGTTGGGTGCGATGGAACGTTGCAGCATGTGGGAGTAGAAGAGGAGGGAGAGGGAAGGGGTGTGGGAAATGGAGAAGGCTTTGAAGAGAGTGTTGTAGAGGAAGGTGTCGGGGTTGGGAAGAGTGGTGAAGAGTTTGAGGGCGTAGTTGAGGTTGCCGTGGTTGGAGAGGGAGCAGAAGGTGAAGATGCCAGACACCGCGTGGTTGTCGGTAGAGAGTCCCAGACGGAGGAGGAGAGAATGGTGCTGCTTGGCTTCCGCCATGCTTGAACATGGCCATGGTGGTGGAGCAACCAAACAGCTACTCATTTCAGCTCACAACACTGCACACCTTATCTCTTCTTTTCATTTTTTTATATAAAAATATGAATAAAAAATTGTACCTCCTTTTTGTTGTGTTAAATGATACTCTTTGTTTTATTTAAAAGTTTTATATTTATTAAAATTTTAATAATATGTTCATAGATAAAATAAGAAAGTGAGTGTGATTTAATTAAAAATATAAGAAATGTAAGTTTTATTTATAAAAAAAAAACTGTCTTATTATATAATCGTAATAAAAAGCCTTAAATAATAGCCGGGTAGAACAGTATGAAAATATGAAAAAAAAAAAAAAAACTAAAGATGATCCCATATAAAATTGTTGTTTAAAAAGTATATTTCTCAATCATTTTAAATAAAATATTAATTTGAACGAAGGGTAACGATCCAACCACCACAAATATTGTTGTTGTCGGGGTCATCGTGGTCATCGTGGTGGAGAAGAGAGAGAGATGTGAATTGAATGGAGTCGTTACAGTGGGTGGCTCTCCATTACCCCATTCGCCACGCCCTTTCCAAACGCACCGTTTCCCTTCCACCAGCTCACTTGCTCTCCGTTATGCTCCGTCGCCGGAGAGGGAGCGGCGGCGAGGTGCGGTGGTGGGGTACGAGGGCGTGCGCGGTGGAGGTGCCGGAGGGAGGGAAGATGGTGATGGAGTTGGTGGGAGCGTTCAACGAGTTGACGGAGAGAATGAACGTGTTGTCGACTAGCTCCTCTCGTCTTCTGTTCAAGTGCCTCAAACTCTCCATCCCCATCCTTCAAGCTTCCCCTCTCTCTCCCGACGGCCGCTCCCCTCTCTCCAAGGCCCTGTCCGTCGCCATGCTCCTCGCCGATCTCCAAGTTAGTTAGCACTCCTACTTACTCACTACTTCTTTTAGATTTTTTCTACTTTCGTTTTTAATAGTACTACTTTATGGTATTTTAGCTTAGTAGATGTTTGTTTCTTTATATGATTAAGATCTTAATAAGTATTTTTTTTAAACATGTTATATATATTTAATATATGGCTGTTGCCATTTTCTTCTAAAATAGAATACTGAAATTCAGCTTAGATAAAATGAGGGTACCTCAATTAATGGATCACGTGTACATATGAAAATAAATGAAAATAGTTTGAAATTTTTTTGCCATTTATAGGATAGCTGGGAAATAAATTTCTAAATAAAAGAAAAAAAAAAGATATTAAGAATGTTTGAGTGGGAGTAAGATGGAAATGCATTTCAAGTTCTGCATTCTAATTTATAGCATAGGGCGTATTTAATTTAATAAATTTAAAATCATATTAGTATTTCTCTAATTCAGAGCATCTATAATCAAGATCTTTATCTGGGGACTCGTAATTCTCTTTTAGTATGCCCCTTGTTTTGATATCAAGTTTAAGAATATTCACTAATTTTTACAGAATTCAACTGAGTGTTTATTTTATTTCTCCACTCACGCATGGATTTTCATTTTACTTCAAAACTTGTTTTTTAATGCTTAAGCGACCTTGTTTGTAATTGTTTATACAAACAAGTTTTTTATGAACTGTGTAGGAATTCATCGGCTTAAATGGTCCTTCCTTTGTTTATTGTCTTGTATGGGACATATTATTGTTATTATTACTAGTATTATTTTCGTTACCGTTTATCGTTTGTTTATAGTGAATGTGAATGCAGATGGATGCTGAAGTTATCTCTGCCGGGATATTGAGAGAGGTGTTGGAAGCAGGCCAGTTGAGCATACACGAAATCCGGAATCAGATTGGTTTGGCCACTGCTCTTTTGCTTCACGAGAGTTTGCGTGTGAACAATATTCCATCCAGAATAGATGTGGTGGATGATGACAATGCTGCTGCATTGAGAAAGTTCTGCCTCACTTACTATGACATCAGGGCTTTGATCCTGGACCTGGCTTTGAAGCTTGACACGATGAGACACCTTGATTATCTGCTCAGATATCAGCAGCAGATAATTTCTTTGCAGGTTATGAAGATATATGCCCCTCTTGCTCATGCAGTGGGAACTACCAACTTGTCACTGGAATTGGAAGATCTCTCGTTTCAGTATTTGTTTCCTTATTCATATCTTTATGTTGATGCGTGGTTGCGAAGTCATGAGACTGGGGGTGTATCTCTTATTGACATCTACAAGGAGGAACTTCTCCAGACTCTGAAGGCTGATCCCTTGCTCTCAGAACTTTTGGATGATATATCGGTTGAAGGTCGATATAAGAGTCGTTATAGCACCATGAAGAAGCTGCTGAGGGATGGTAGGAAGCCAGAAGATGTGAATGATGTGCTTGGGATGCGAGTGATATTGAATCCTAAGGGTGGAGAGAATGCGTCAGAGGCTGGAGAGAGAGCATGCTATAGGTCTCATCAGATAATCCAATCTATGTGGAAGGAAATTCCTTATCGGACAAAGGACTATATTGCCAGGCCAAAAGCAAATGGGTATAAAAGTTTGCATATGGCAGTTGATGTGAGTGAAAATGGTAAGATCAGACCGTTGATGGAAATACAGATAAGAACAACTGAAATGGACAGGTTAGCAGTTGGTGGAACAGCAGCCCATTCGTTATATAAGGCTGGTCTTACCGATCCTGAGGAGGTTAGTGTCTTCTTTCCCACAAAAAAAAAAAAAAAAAAAAAAATATATATATATATATATATATATATATAAACAGAAGCAATGAATTCTATAGATATCTAAAAACATACAAATGGAGACATTGAACTTATGTTTATTCTTTTATCTTGTTGAGAGATCACATGAAGGGAATGGGCATTTATGTTTTAGTTGTTGATGCTCAGGCGAAGCGTCTGAAGACCATCATGCTGGCTGCGGCTGAATTGGCTGCTCTGCGCCTTAAAGATTTTCCAGGTACAAATCATAAGGGGACTGAGACTGATCAGAGGGATAGAGTTTTTCGCCTTCTTGACAAGAATGGAGATGGTAAAATTAGCATTGAGGAGCTTACAGAAGTAATGGAAGAGCTCGGGGCTCCAGGAGAAGATGCCCGAGAAATGATGCAGCTCCTTGACTCAAACAGTGATGGCTCCCTCAGCTGTGACGAATTTCATATGTTCCAAGAACAGGTGATTTGATATCCTATAACAAAGAATAAAATTTGATTTGTTCTTTGCTAATTGTGTGTTCCTGCCTTTAAGAACTCTTCTTTTCTTGATTTGGTCTCTTAATGAACCGAGCATCTGATTAGCAAAGCTTACTTTCACTACGTGTTGATGGTTAAGTCAGCACAATTGGATAAGTCCAAACTAACTGATTTTGGACTAAATTCTTGATTGCTGTCATATTTATGATGAGGCTGGTTAACAGAGTACGATGTACATAAAAAAATGCTTGCTAAATCTCATCTCATCTGTGGTAGGTTGAGTTGGTGCGTAATCTAGAAGCCCGAGATGATCAATACAAGAAAATATTGGATGTGAAGCTTCGTATGTCAGATGAGAGTGGTTTAATTCAGGTTTATAATAAGGAGTTTGGCAACAGGCTTGTGAGCTAGTGCTGCTGCTGCATTTATTTGATATGAATGACCCAACAAAAGCACAATTTGCTCCACTTGTGATATGATCATTAATCATCAGCCTCATGTAAGTAATATACTTTCCATGTAAACTAATTACAATTAATGGCATAGTGAAATTCCAGTGATTAAGAAATTATGGCAAAATCATAAGTGTTTCTGTGAGAACAGAGGAGAATCTAAAATCCAACTTAATATCAAACAAATAACAACTATAATGAGGATTGATGAACTGTTGGGTAACTATTCAAATGGTTCTAAACATTTTTTACTGTTATTGATATTTTCACAGTACATCAACATCAATTGTCGTAGAAATTTGGATTGATTAACTATTTAGCCCAACTTAAATCTTTTTCATCAGTTTTTCGGCTCTTACTTTTTGCACTCCTATGACTTTTTTGTGCACCCCATTAAATTCTTAAAATGACTATTTTATTTTTTGTGAAAGCGATTTTCGGATTATATATTTTGAATATTTTCAGAATTTTCAAAGACAAGATTTTTTAAACAGAATTTTTTAAATAAAACTTTCGGAACAAAATTTTCATAATGTATAAAATAGATTCTGGAATAATTTTCTTAAAATAAGATTTCTAGAACTTTCTTGAATGCATGCAATATCTGACAAAATAAGTTTTCAAAATAACCCTTTATGAAATGTTTTCCGAAAAGAATTTTTGGAATATATAAAATACATTTCAGAAAAACTTTTAGGAACAAATTCTTTTTCCGCCGCATTTTCTCTTTTTATTTTTCATTTTTCTCTGTAGCAGCGTTGTGATGGTGACCGACAAGTTGTGATGTGATACAACGGTGAAGGCGAGCTTTTTCTGTTATTTTGGGGTGCAGAAAGCAACATCTCATTGTTTTAAGGCATATGAACTTTATATGTGTGTACTTTAATAATGATAACCTATAATAACAATTATATATATATATATATATATATATATATATATATAAATTGTTACTTTAAATTATCATTATTGGAATTAAAATATATAAATTTTATATGTTTAATATTTTATTGTTTGTTATTGATTATTTTATTTACGGTAAATGTTTATTGTTTAATATATTCGTTATTGATGTTGGTTGTATTCAATATTGTCGTTTCGATATAATTTAAATTCTATTGTATAATAATAACAATAATATTGTTATATATGAAATTATGGGAGAAAAAAAAGTGAAATAAAGCTAACATAAAATTGCTATTTTTTAAGTGAAATATCTCAAAGGCTTAAATACTATTTTGTTTTCTATTTTTGTCCATTTTATTAAGTGGTTCTTATTTTATTGTGTTATCCAATAGTTTTTATTTTAATAATTTTTTTAATTTAGTTGTTTTTATAATGAGTTTAAATAGTTGACAATCTATTAAATTTTTTTAATTTAAAATAAGTTGTCCATATCAGAAAAACCTATTTATCTTTTGTTAAAAAAATTAGACCATATCAGAAAAAAATCAAATTAAATAACATTTATCAAAATAGAGATCATTGAACAACAACAAAATAAATACAATAGAGACCGAAATCATATTTAAGTTTATTTTAAAAAAATAAAATTTTATGATTAGAAGACGTCATAGTTTCTTTATAAGAAAATCATAATATAAAGTTCTATTTTATAAATATCGTGAGGGAAGATCTCTCAAGTTAAGAGGTCTTAAGCACAAGAAAAGTAAAGTGAGAAAATTTTAATATAAAATTTGAACTAGAATGATAATTTTCCAAAAACCAAAAGGTTAATTAATCAATTAAATAATTATACAAATCAGAAATATTTTTAGTTTAGATGTATTTTATTTTAGTGTGTTTAATTTTGAACATATTTTTATTTTCATTATTGATAAGAAAAACATGAAGAACAACATTACAGAAGGAAAAGAATCAAGTTTGCAGATCTTTCCCACTTCATCTGTTTGATGAATTGCTCAACTCAAAAGTGCAGTCATCCCTATAACGAGTGCAGCCATCCCTATCTAACATTTCTGCATTTTTCTTCCTCTTAATAATTACAATAATGCAGTATCTGTGGCACCTACATGGCTGCTGAGTTCACAAGCACTTGTTTGGGGGAACACTCAAATCATTCAATAATTTATTGCATAACTGCACCATATGAAGAAGAAAATATACATCAGCCTCTGATTTCAGCAGATGAACAGAGAAAAAGGGTATGAGCAAAATACCTGTTTATATACAGAAGTATCACCACAAGACTTCCTTAATTCTACAACGGACAGTGATGGGCTTATTTCAAACACCTGTTACATTTGAAATGAAGTTACTTTTCTTAGCATTAACAAACTATATGTAAAGATTAAGCTCATTCTAGACATGTATTACCTCTACTGCCACTGAAAGGCATCCAGTAGTTTTGTGTACCTTGTTCTCCCAAATCACTTTCAACTGAAATATTAAATTGTTGTTCATGTTATTGATGTTTCTTTTAGCGAAACAAACATTCAGTTTATATGCAAGTTTGTCAGAAATAAAAGCAGCCTTAACAAACATACTTTGTCATTTTTCCTCTGGACTATAAATTCCATATCTGTCACAGTGTCCTCAATCCTCTCAATCAGATCTTTAACTGAAAGATTTGATGTAAATCTTATCTTCCTCTCAGAAACACCCTGTTACTCAAACCACATTGTGCATAAATCTGAGTTAAATTCTGTAAGGAAGTGGTGACTGTTTAAAGACACGGGAAAAACTATGCACAAACTTTGTATCAGTAGAAATTGAAATGCACTGATTAGGGTTGGTGATCCTGAATTTCATGCTCACCTCTGTCTCAAAGAAGCCAGAGAGGTCTAGGCACGAAGACATCCCTATCAACTGAAATGCATTGATAAGGGCTGGTGATGATCCTGAATTCCTCTGTTCTGCTTCATGCATGGAAACTGCTTCATTGTCAACGTACACATCCTCATCTTCAGCATTTGCTGGAACATAACCCTTCTTAAACCACGGATCTTCTTTGATCCCAGCCATTGTTATCCGTTTTTCAGGATTTGGATCAAGAATCCTCTTTATCAAGGCTTGTGCACCTGGTGATAGCCATTTTGGTATCCGAACATCTCCTTTGAAAATCTATTTCCCCTCACAGAAAAAAGAAAAATGTGAATTCATTTATGAAACTGATATACTAACCATGTGAAAGAACGTCGTGGTAACAAAAGAACATACCTTCTGATAGAGAACTACCATATTTCTGTCATCAAAAGGTAAACATCCAGTTAGAATTGTATATAATAGAACACCACATGACCATGTATCTGATGTTGCACCGTCATAGCCCCTATTAGCAAGAACCTCAGGAGCAACATAATTAGGACTTCCACAAGTTGTATGCAGCAATCCATCTGCCTGAAAATTTTCACACGGTTAACCCAATAACAAAAATCATATGCTTTACCCAAAGTGGTTGAAATTGAAAGCATAACAACATCTTACCCTGAGATGCTGGGGTGAAGCACTAAGACCAAAATCAGTTATTTTCAAGTTTCCTTTGTTATCCACCAGTACATTCTCAAGCTGCAAGGACATAGCAGCATTTGTGTGAAAAACGCAAGACCTAAGAGAGCTATATGGTACAATTTGAGCTTGAAAAGGAAGAAAAAGAACCTTGAGATCCCTGTGAAAGACACCTCTAGTGTGGCAGTAGCTCACCCCATCAATCAACTGTTGGAACAGCTTTCTGCATTCACTTTCTGAACGTTTACCTTCGGATGCCTGTCACAAATATGGTGAAGCATTTTTACAGCAGTATAAAATTTTAACTCTCACTAACAAAATCAATGAAAAGTAATATGGTCTTACAATCATGCCAAATAACTCTCCTCCATTCACATATTCAAGTACCATATAAATTTTTGTTTTGCTAGCCAAGACCTGCGTGATTATAATAATTATAATAATTATCAATCATAATTAGAAGTATCAATCACAGAAATGCATGTTGCAATTATAAGTTGCAGAGTAAAGATTACTCTACCAAATAAGTAAACAATATATAAACACAGAGAACAAAATCTTGGTCAACTGAGTGCGATACCAATAGTGTTCGTACATTACAATTTATATGCATATGGACGGACCGTCGGATCTGAATAAAATATGTTGTCGTGATGTTTTTTAATCATGTTCTCATGCCACATTTTTCTTAATTGTGACAGTTGAGATGCAATGGATTTTGGAGTGGAATCCAAATAAGTACCTGTGCCACATGTTAATCATTCATCTCCACCTTCATTGAATACTATGCTTAGGAAGTCCAATTCACTCAAGAATACACATGACATAATAAGTTTTAAACAAATTAATCTACTTGATTACTTATTATATCAATATTAATCACATCAATATTTATCATACATAATCTAATAATTTCTCTGTCAAACTCAATGACGTGAATGATTATGGTAAAATGAAAAAAAAAAGTATTTGTCACCGTCCCTGCCCTTTAATTAGTGTATGTGATATATCAGAATCGTGTGGGAAAAGTTGGTGCTCTGACTCAGTTCAACGTCAACAAAACTGAGCTAAAAAGAATAATAGATTCAATAAAAACTTACGAAAATGGTAGAGACATAAAACATATAAAGTAGGGTGCCACGAATGTGCGGTGGAATTAACATTAAATATATACATACACAGTATGATATGGGAGTCAGGTAAAAAACTTAATCTAAGAAGTTTATTTAATTACATTTTTTAGTTTTTATTTTTTTTTTTAAATTTAAGAGAAATCACGCTCATGATTCCTTCTTTCGCCAAACAAAAGCATGTGCTGTTATAATAGTTTTTTGTTTTTTCCTCGAAAAATATTATACTGGAATGTCACATCAATGACCTAATTCACAAGTCAGAATTCTACGTTTTCTACATTTATAACTTAACAACACTGTAATGAGTTGTAATTCTAGACTAACGTAGCATTTATATAGGTATTGAAAAGTTACCGTGAAAGAATAAAGTTCTGCTTAAGTTCAGATGTTCATTGTTCATTCTGCTACAACACAGTGAATATATGCTAAGTTTTCGTTGGAATTTATGTCCGATCCAACACCATTGATATTTGACATGTTCGGCGTAACGAACATGCCAGATTTAAGGTTACGTATGGAATCTGGATTTGGATTTGCATATGAGACCAACAGTAATGACCGACTAAAAAACCTTAATTACACTAGTAACATCTTACATTCTTCTTCTCTATATTTTAAAAGTAACACTACATATATATAAAGGTTTATATAATACATAATTTATTCTTTAGAAGATTCAGTCCATAAAAAAAGCCCAGCTAATTTTGCACTGAAAATAATAGTTTAGTTTATTCTTGTGTGTGAATTGGAATTCGCATAAGATTAGTGAATGCAATAGATTGGGATTCGGATAATGTTTTTTGAATTGAAAAATATATGTTCATGGAAGTACCTCGTATAATCTAACAACGTTGGGATGTCTGAGGAGCTTTAAGGCGGCTATTTCCCTCTTTATCTGCAATTTTAACCAGAGAGACTCATTCTTCTATGATCATACACAATGCATTTGAATGAACTTGAGTTTTGTCATCAGAAGAAGATTATAAGAAGGGCCAGAAAGTTTTTTCCTTTTCCATGGAAGAGGAGCCAAAAAGAAGTAACAGAAACGTTAATGAAAGAAGAAGTTTTCTGAAGAAACCTGATTGGTTATGTTTAGGTCGATGATCTTGTTCTTCTCGATGATCTTAACAGCAAAAGGTTGACCAGAATCAGTGTTCTTGGCGAACTTGACTTTGCCAAAATTGCCTTCACCCAGGGTCCTACCCAACTCGTATTTCCCAAGTCGCATTCTTTCCTTCTTCTTCTGCTTCACTTCTTCTTCCTTGCTTTTGCAAAATGTCTAAATTCCCTTTTCCATAAACAGTTCTAAATTCTCTTCTTCACGTCAAAAAAACAGTCCAAAACAAAGAAATAAGATCGAAGGAACCAATCTTGTTGCTTTCTGGAGAGGCAAGAGCCGATTTTGTCGCTTCCTTTTAGTTTGTTTTTCGTAAGTAACTAATGACAAGGTGGACGAAACAATTAAGGATGATTTTATCCAGGGAAAAACCAGAAAGAAGATTTCCAATGCGAGAATTAGCCAAACAAGTTGTCAAATTGATTATGCTTTGGCATCACACTCACGCATTGTTTTTTTCTCGTTAAGACAGTTGCCACTAATTTATATATATATATATTGAAGACTAATTTAATATTGAATATTTTATAAATTGTATACCTATTTCATCGTTAACCTGTATTATTTTTGTATTTTGTATACATTAAAAAAACCACATAATTTTTTTTTTCCGAAAAGGATGTATTACATTAGTAGTCAGATATAGACTAAAATAAAAAGTTATGCAAATTTTTACTATAATAAGTATCAATGAATCTTTTATAATTATTCATGGAAACGTTTTCCTTTTACTTGTTTATTTATGATAATTGAAAAGGATGTTAAATATTTGTGTTTTTTACTTTTGAAATCCTTGAGTGTGGGTTTTGTTATAGTTGGTAAAAAAAACCAAAGAAAAAGCAAGTGATGCCCTACACGTAAATTATGGAATTGGTAGTTGTGTGGTTTTGTAGCTTCTTCGTCCGTCACACGTTTCTTGCAATTCTGAACCGCCACGCATTCTTTTAATGAACAAAATTTGGTTAGGTTTGATTTGTTGTAATGTAATTTACTATGTTGTTAGGTTGTCTAGTCACTCTGAAATAATTGTGAATGAATGTGTTAGCTTTAACAGCGAATACTTCTATTTAAGTCTATGATTTAAAATTTCGATAATCGTATGAAATTTTTAATTTTCCATTCTGGCACTTTGTTCTTGTCCTCTTTCTTATTCTAAAAAAATTAATTTTAAGATAGAAAAAAAAAATCATCAATTGGATCGTAATCGAAAAATATTTTGTGTTACATTCGAAGAAAGGTATATGTATATGTTCTACCTAGTAAATACATAAATGTGGAGACTTATATATAATTTTTTTTAATTATTATCTTAATTTATTTATTTTTCGTGAAAATTTCGTTATCTAGTACAATTATTTTTTTTGTTGATTTTATTTATTATTGTCTTAATATAATTGTTTTCTAAACGAATTTACCTGAATTATGATATTATGATCGGTTGAGATTTCTTGTATAATTAACTTTTAATATTGCTTTGTTATAATATTATAAAAAAATAGTTATACATTACTATATCTTAAAATAATTTTATATTTTCTTTAACGATAGCAACAAAGATAAAGATATTAAAATAAAACCAAAGTATTTTCTGTAACACATACACGTGAATATATACACACATATAAAAGAAAATTAGAAAATATAAGAAGATATTGAAATTAATATTAACAACTCTTTTGAAGAATGGTTGCAGAAGTTTATTTTTTATTCAAGAATATTATTTTAAGCTTACTCAACTCCTGTCTTTATCATAGGTATTTCGAAATCATATATTACTTGAGCAATATATAAAAATATCAACAAAACATAAACAAATTAAGAATATCCAACTTCAAGTCTTTTATATTTATTCTTATCCACAAATAAACTTATTATCCAACTTAATTTTTGTAATCAAATTTATTAAAACAATGACATATGTAGCTTAGTTTTTAAATTTCTAACATCTACATATATTTCATCAAATTCTAATTTAGATAGCATTTAACATTGAGTGAAAGTCCAAATAATCTTTAACTAGATCTAGCACCAACTCAAACCTTTAAAAGAGAGTTTAATCCACTGATTCTGACTATAATTTCAAATCAACCAAACACAATAACTTAAGTTAGTTTACTTAGTTAATAAAACATACACTTCAATAAAATTTATTTTTGAAAAAAAAATGATAATAATCACGAGAGATTCTTTAAAATTATTCTCAAAAAGTCAATCCAAAAAACATAATGCACTATTACAAATTTATATTAAAAGAGATTATTTTTCCTCATCTCATCATCATACATGCGCGCGATAACATATACAATCACACAAAGACAAAAAAAAGGTCAAAAAATAAAAAAACAATAAAAATTATTTTGACTAAAACTAGACCTTTCTCTGTTGTTTCTTAATTCAAACCACTTCAAAAAAATTTATATACTCAACAAAATCTAGAGTGAAAAAAAATTAATCATTTAAACTTGAAAATAATTATCGCTTTTTTCTCAACTTTGAAATATATATTCCACCTTAAAACATAAAAGGTTTGGTGGGAAACGATGAAATATCCAACTGGCCGATAATTTGAATAACGACGAGATATTGTGTTGTTGTGGAAAAAAAAGAAATGACCGGTAATATTTAGCTATTTTCCTTTGTTGGGTATGTGAAATATATATATATTATTGTGACCATTATGATTACTAATTATAACTGAATTAATCTTGAAAAATAGTATATTATTGTGATGAGATGATTAATGTAAAATTAATTTATAAAAGGATAAAGTGGTGGTTAATGTTTTTCATGTGGTTTATATCCTTTTAAAAAAGTACATGCTTTATTAAGATGATGTTTATTGATCATATATATTGGGCAACCAAATGGGAAAAGCATTTATGCACGTGATTATTACCTCTGTATTGCAGGAACCCAACTCGTTCATATGTCTTCACAAAATGTACTATGTTTTACTTTATTCAGGAGTGGGATCCACCTGTTACCACACATCCAAATCATATTTTAAATCTACCATTCAATTATTTCTTCAGTTATTATTTTATTTTCATATATAAATATATAAAATTCTCATTTAATCATTAACTGTTAACGACGAGATTAAGAGACTAAGGATTATATTTCAAAGTAAAACGAAGATATAAGAATTGTTTGATGGTAAAATGATCACTTATTTTGTTTTTTAATAATAAAGAAAATGAATATGATAAAAAAAATACTTTATTTTTGTTGTGTACTTGAAAAGAATAAAAAAGAATGAGGACATTTTTAAGTCGAACACCGACAGAAAAAAAATATCTCCACCGGAATAAAATTAAATGGGAAGGAAATTATATGTTTATGTTTAATTTTTAAAAACTACTTTGATAATATAATTTTTACAGTAATAAATATTTTATGTTTAAAAATTCTATTAAAGTTACATTTTTGAACTATTATAAAATAATTTTTACACAAGTTATTTGTTTTAACTCTCTTTTCCACTATTCCAAATAAAACGAAATCGCTTTTTACATGCAAGAAAAAAAAAACTCCTTTATGTTATTTTATTTTATTAATGTACTTAATGTAATAAACAAAATTAAAATATATCAAGCTACTACGTATTTATAATGTTTTAATCTTAATTTTTTATATTTATATAATAAATAAGTATATTTCATCATTATGCAAAAAAATATATTAAATAAAAATATATAAGTAAATTTTTTAACATTTTTTTATTCATATATATTTTCTTAAAATTCAAATTTTACATTCCATGCTCAATTTTGTCTTCTTTATTGTTTGTAGTTACTGTCTTTATTTTTCTTTTATGGAACATTTTTTTAATTTTCATTATACTTCTTATGTTATCAATATCATTTTATTTGTCTATTGTAAATTAATGTTAAAATAAAAATATTTTTTTATTATAAGTTATAATCTATAAGTTAATTTACTTTTGTATTACAATAAATATATGAAATAAATTGATAAAATAAAACATTTTTAACTCAGTAAATGATAAATCAAACTAGATTTTTATTCAATGTAAAGTAAGTCAGTTAATTAACTTATTTTTAACTCAATCCGTAATGAATTAAGACGGTGAACTGAGTTGATTTATTTTGACATTTCTTTCTTTAATATTAAACTTCTTTAAAATATATTTGATGTTTTTTATCTTTCTTTAATATCTTCTTCTTAGTTAATTCATTTTTTATAAAATTTAAAGCAAAAAGTTTGTATTTTAAATGAACTTTAAATAATTTTAAATTATTTATTTATTTAATTATATAAAGTTTATTTCCAAATGACATTTTATAACTTTTTCTGTAATAAAAGTTGAACAATACTTTTTGATAAATCTCATAGCATTATGAAAAAAAAAATCATATACCAATATTTGTTAAGTTTTTTAGATCATGACTTATGTGATGTTTATAACAACTACTCATAAGTCAACCTCATTTGTTAATTTTAACATGTGATATTACAATAAAATTTCAAAAATTCTATGTCTCAAATATTTTTGTTTTATTTGTATTTTCTCTTTCAAATAATTTTAAATTTATTTAGGTAATTTATGTTTTAAATAATTTCAAATTTCTTTAAATGACTTAAGAGATAATTTTGCGAAATACAACATTCAAACATTTTTACCTTAACTTCATTTTCTTTTTTAAATTTTCAAACACGGATCCTCAACCATGACTTTTCAAAAATTTAACCCTTTTACACAAATTTACATTCTTGCAGTGTATAAAATATAACTTTCACCACCAAACCGTTAATATTTATAAAATTTTCCCTCTTTTTTCATTATATAGTCGCATCTATTTATATTAGAAAACTTATTATTTTATTTGATTTATGTAATATATATATATATATATATATATATATATATATATATATATAACAGTGAAATATAATAAAATATTAATTATTTACAATGTTTTTTGAATCTAAATAACGAGTAAATATAATTTTATATTTATGTTTAAAAATTAAAATATTTTTAACATAAATAACATTTTTCTATTTTTATTATTCATTCTTATTTACTTCCTATATATTTATGTATCGTATGACCAGACTAGACGGCCGGTCTCAAAAGCGCACACAAATAATGATTAAGGAAATTAAGATAAATTATGAATTAAGTCTACTGGATCAGGATAAGACCGAGATTAAAATATTATTAATCATAGGTCTACGCCATAAAACTATAAATGTAAGTCATAGGTAACATGTAGGTAGAGAAGCATTTACTGTGCATTAATTCTGTCATTGTTATACTCCAGACGGTTCAATTACTGATTTTGATATCAAAATATCTTTAACAGGTACATACCGACCGGAATAACAAATCAAGAATGTAAGAAACAAGACGGGACGACAAAAAAAGACAAATTATAAAGATATTTAATGACTCAACCCCATAACCGAAACAATTTATTTTTCTATATTCCTCTTCTCCTTCAAACAAATACACTGAGAGTAGAAGGATATCAGCCCAACACAGTCACTTTATTAACATGCCCGTTGTCTGAGAAGAAACCAACAACAATTTATTAACATGCCCAGTTCACCGAAATACCTTTTTAATTTATTTTAAAGAAACATCTTATACCATAAAGTAAAATACCTTTTTAATTTATTTTATTAACAACTTCTCATATGATAAATTCAACATATACATAAATTTAAGACATGTGTCTTATAACACCTGTTAGAGTATGTTAACTGCGTTACAAAATATCTTCTACCAGTAAATAATTAATTAATTAGAAAAATGAGTATTTATGGTATGAACATCAGTCTCGTGTGATCCCCTGATGCAAGAAGAAAGCAAGATCCACTAAACAAAAATGGTGAATTGGTTTCATAATCTTTTCTGTAATCTCTGTCTGTGACCACATGCGAATAAAGTATAACAAATTCCAAAAGTCGGTGGTCATGTTCTTTTTTTTTACAAGAGAAGACTTTCAAAATCTCAATTAAAACGAGAAAGCCATGTCAACGTGTTGACAAAAAGAAGTAGAATGCAACGAAAGCCATGTAAACGATAATTTTGACACACTAAACAAAAAATATTCTTCTCCAGTTTAGAACATAACAACCTTTTATGTTTCTTTAGTCTTTGTCACTTCTTACCTAAAACAGATCATTTTCTCAAATCATATCTACATTTAAATTAATCAAACAATCTCTTACAATTAAATTAAATATCCATCGTGTATTAACATGTGATACTTTATTTCAGATATCAGCAATTTTTGAACGATTGATTGGAATATGATTGTTTTACGTGAGCAACCCACATAGAATTTTTTATATATGAAAAAAATAATTAATATTTTACCATATTTAATTATGGATATGTATTTACTATTGGTTTTTAATTTTTTCATCGTGAGCAGTTTTTTATACCGTGGATGTTGATATAAAAATAAAAACTCCTTTTGGTTTAAAATATTGCCAATTTAAATCAACCCATTTTGTTGAAAGTGTGATCTGATTATACCACTAGAAAAATTGTTAAGGAAATATATTATATAACTAGGTCATCACTGATTTGAATAATTATTTTATTTGAAGGAAAAAAAAACAGAATTAAGGTCGCTATTAATTCTCATTAAAAGAAAAATGAGAAAATATATATATCTATTTAAGCATTGGAATTCAAATTCTCAAATTTAAAAGGCCGACAAATTAATGACTGTAGCCCATAACCCAATCAGCCCATGCAATAAGCCTTAACCAGGCTGTTTCTTCCTGCACCTCAAAATTCTTCTTCCAGCACCCTATCAAAGTTTTCAGAAAATATTTCCCAGAATAGGAATGGGTGAATGTCTTTCGAAAAAGTGAATGAACTTCTTCAGAAAAAATGTTTTCGATTGAGTGTGTTTCGAAAAAAAAAATTCTAGAATAATGGGATACAGAGAGAAATTTTAGGGGTGCAGAAAGAAATAGCCCCTCAATTATATTTCTGCTATTTTCACTTATTCTTTTTCATATTTTTTAATTTTTTTCTCTTTAAAATTATAATGTATTTTGAAAAATTAAAAACAAATACATGTTTTCCATAAAAGTTTCATACAAAACCAAAGTTTTTAAGTATCCTCATCTACCAGGCTGCGTTAAGTTTAAATTTCCCTAATTACACTTTCTACTTTTTTTTTCTTAAATTTTTATTATTATAAATATCTTTTATTTCAAAGACCATTGCATACATGAAGAAGAGTAAAACACGGTAACTCTATCTATTTATTCTCTTTCTATATCTTTTTTCATTGTAATAAAATAAAATAAAAGATAAATAATATATTTAGCACAACAAATATTAATATATCCCATTTTTAATATAATATAAAAAAATATGATTTTACATTATAAGTATTAATATATTTTATTTTTAGCATAACAAAAAACTGTATATTTATATAACAAGTATTGATATATTTTTTCTAATACAACCAAAAAAAAATTATAGTCCGTAAAGATAACTGATCAATACAAATAGTTTAATTTATTAATTTTGCCTGAACTCAACTAATTATATTTAACTTTTAATGTTCGTGAAAGTTAACATTAATATGTAATTAATTTTGAGAGAACTATTAAAAATTTAAAATTTATTAGAAAAACAAAAGTTTCTATAAAATTAGTTAAACATCAAAAGCATTAATTACATAATATTTGCTTTAATATTAATGAACATCACACTGTTAATTCATGTTTGTATTTTAATAAATATCACATTTTCTTCCTAATATACTAAAAAAGTTAATAAATATATATATATGTCAATACTCGACCAACTATTTATTCTAATATGAAATATAACAAATTATTATTAATTTTATCTTAATTCAGTTAGAAGAAGAACAAACTTGTTCTAGAATACATTTTATGTATTTTAAAAAATTTATTTCACAAAAACTATTATATATATTTCAAAAAAATTATTCCAAAAATAGAAAACTAAAATGCATAGAAAACTTGTTCAAAAATTATATTCTCAAAAATTTTGGAAACCTTATTTTGAAAAATACTTCCAAATACATAATAAAAAAAATCACTTTTACAAATCATACAAAGGTTAAAATATCATTTTAAAAACTATTGTGAGATTGCAGTTAGAAATTATAGGAAGAAAAAGCCAATTCGCCAGACAGGTTCATGATTGTAGCCCATAAATCCAATCAGCCCACGCAGGAAGCCCCTCCAACTTCTACTATTTTCACCTTTGCTTTCTCTATTTTTAATTCATTTTTTTCTATTTGTATCTCTAAAAATATGATGTATTGTGAAAAATTATAAAAAAAAAACACATATCTTCATTAGAAGTTTAATATACACCAAAGTTTTTGTTATCTATCCTCTTCCACCAAGTTGGGATAAATTTAAACTTTTACTTGTTTTTTTTATTTTTTAAATATTTTCTTTCCATTATTTTAAATATCTTTTACTCCAAAAAGGAACATTTTTTCACTTTTATTATTAAGTCTACTATCTCAGTTCAGTGAGTACCGAATAAACATTAATCGAAATCATGAATACTATTTTTTCTGTACAATGACATTCTTATTTCTTTGCCCTTATAAATGAAATATAGTAAATTGTTATTATTTTTATCTCACTTCAAAAAGCAGTGAATTAATAAAAAAACACTAAATAAATTAATCAAACTTGCTCCAGCTACTTATTCAAAGAAATAAGATGTAGAAAATGTATTATTATTTGAAGAAAAAACATAAAAGAAAATACTAGATATTTAGTACAAAGTATTCCACCCTTCATAGACAAACAGTCCCACATATACAAACACAACACATTATTTCTGCAGAATTTGACAACTTTTGTAGTATAATTAAAAGTTCAAGGCCATCAAGCCATTTCAAAGCTCAGCATCCCTTATATTCTCTTTCACTTCTTCTGATTTTTTCTTGGCAGCTTTTGCTATGTCACTAGCCTTCTGTGCTGCTGCATCCTTCATTTCTCTCGCTTTCTCTGCACTGTATTGACCAGCCTCTGTTCATCATCAACAACAACATCAAATTAAACCACCTTTTCCATAACTGTTTTCTTAATTATGCTTAAAACTCTTTATGCTTTTGAGTTAATAACATGCTGCAAATGTTCTGCTATGTCAAAAAATAAGAAAAATCAAATTGAAAAACCATTAACTTGTTTAAAAAACAAAGAAAACAGGAAATGAGGCCACTGATTATGTGTGTGAAAATGGTTTTCATATGCTGTATAGCGGTTGCAGAGCAGAAATGTTTTTGAAGTTAGTGTACCAACCAGAAGCAAATTCATGGAGCTTCTCTTTGGTTCTCTGAGCTGCATCACTGGCCTGTTCATTGGTCTTCCGAGCCGTTTCACTGGCATAATCAGAAGCATCTTTGCTTTTTCTGGTAGCATCACTGGCATAGTCTTTGCTCCTCTGAGCCGCATCATTGGCATATTCAGATGCCTCTTTGCTTCTCTGAGCAGCATCATCAACATAGTATTTGGTCTTCTGAGCCGTGTCACTGGCATAATCAGAAGCTTCTTTGCTCCTGTGAGCTGCATCACCAGTGTACTCTCTGGTCTTCTGTGCTGCATCATTTGCATAATCTTTGATATTCTGCCCTGCATTTTGAGCAGTACCACTGACATACTCCTTGGTCTTCTGTGCTCCATCGCTGACCTTTTGAGCACCGTAATCTTTGGTTTTCTTTGCAGCATTCTTTGCAGCATCACCAGCGTCACTGGCATATTCCTTGGTTTTTTCAGCAGCATAATCTTTCGTCTTTTTGGCAGCATCGCTGGTCTTCTGAGCAGCATAATCTTTAGTCTTCTGGGCAGCATCGGTGGCAGAATCCTTGGTCTTCTGAGCAGCATCACCAACATAGTCCTTGGTGTTCTTTGCAGTGTCAGCTGCACAGTCCTTTGATCTCTGTGCAGTGTCGGTAGCGTAGTCGGAGACTTTGTTGGTGGTGGATTCCTTGGGTTCTTGATCATGTTTGAAGCCAAGTCCCTCGGTGATTTTCTCTTTAGCCCATTCTGTCCATGACTCTGCAGCTTCTTTCCCCTCTTTACCAGTGTCCATGGCCTTGTTGGCTGTTTGCGTGGTCTTGGCTTTAGCCTCGTCAAAATCACGACCTTCCTCTTTGGTGGAAGGCATGTGACCAACACTGGTGCAGTTACAGTTGATGGCAAGCAACATCACCGCCATCAACAAAACAAAAACCACCCTGGAAGCCATGATAGTATAAGAAAGGTTAATATATGTAAGTTTGAGAAGAAGTAAACAAACAAGTTTGCGAGATTCCAGAACGAATGAAACAGAAGTAGAAGTAGTGGTAGAGAGTGGTTGAGGATTGGGAGGTTTATATAAGGGAGTGGAGGGAGATGATGAACATGAAGGGTGTGATGCATGCAACGTGGCTTCTTTACAGACATGTCAAAATCTAACGTGTCAGTTACAGGAACAAATAATGTCTGAAACTGCATGCCATTACATCATTTGCCTCTTAAGGTATGATTCATGGAATTGGCACGTGTCATGAGAAGGGGTTATAATTTTTCTGGTTGCTTCTTGTAATCTTTATTCTTGACACCGCCAAAGAACTCATGAGAATGCAGAAAGGCCTCATCTGTCTTTTATTTACTTTCTTTCTTCTACTCCCATTAAACAAAAATTTTCTACTTTTTATTTAGACATTGTTCAATACACCTTTTTGTTTCTTGCTAGAAAATTAATCTAAAAAGTCTGAATTGTTTGGGAACAGTCTCAAACTGCATTTTAGCTATCATATTGAAGACTCGAGAAATTTAGAAGGAATCTTTCAACTTCTTTCTACAGGATTGGATACAGGGCAAAATTATTGTATATTTGAAGAGTAATTAAATATATACTCTTCAAAAGGTATTGTTTCACATTATATAAAATACATTTGTTTAAATAATTTATTTACAATATTATGAAGTGATGAACAAATGGAAGTTGCATGTAGCTTTTCTTGCAATGGGCTAGTGCGGATTAATCTGGAAACAGTACAAGAGTGGAAACGAGCTTCAGTAGTTCTTTTTTTTTAATTAGCAGTATTTTTATTGGTAATAATACGTTAACACAAAATTTTCCAATGGTAACACAACACACACAGGTAATTTTCTTATTAAGTTTCTAGTATATTAGCACAATAGCAATAGATAATAAACTAATAAAAAAAATATGTGTATTACGTTAAAATGTTATAAAAAAATTTATATTAATTCTTTTTTAGAATTCTAAATTTAGATTGAATTTTATATATTTAAAAATGTCAGGAAGATCTGGCAATTAGATTTACATTTTTATTTATTATTTTTAATATTATAATTTATTGAATAAATTATTTATTTTAAAAATATAAATAAATTATGTGCAAATTAAAGTGAAATGGCATCATATAATTGAAATAATATAAAAGTGAGTTGTTTATTAGTTCCACTACTAAGCAGCAACCACATATTACAAGTACTTTAATAATTTAAAGAGTACGAGGATGAGATGGGTACAGGGACATACGGATATAGGGATATATATATACACACACATACCCATCTCATTTCTACTGCTAGTTGAAAAAATTGTATACTCATGTATATCCGAAAATCTCAATCAATGCGTAGAATCCAATTAAAACCGGACCAATTCAGACAATATATATGGGAATCGGTTTTTTTACCATTCCTATTTATGAACCATCATAACGAAACAATGTGTTTCAAATGTGAAAAAGTAAACATCAAGCCCATTGTCAAAATTTAAGGTTTCAATTTACAAATAAGTTTGAAATTTAATAGTAGATGAAAAATTTGTAGAGTGTAATCCATATACGTAGAATTTGAATGTTTTTTTCAACAAAATACGTCATCTGAATCAGAAATTTTAAAAGCTTACAAGTCTGATTTGATTATTAAAAGTTAAAATATTTCTACTTAATATAGAGAATAAAATTTTAAAACTTTTTATATTCTATCTTATATACACACACACTCATGAATTTGATTTTAATAAGAGGAATGGCTTTTTGACAACTCAAATTTAGGATAAAATAGTTGTTAAAAAAGTGAATTTTTATATTTATACAAAAGAAGATAGATTAAAAGGTAAAATAATAAAAGTGAAGTGGTGTAAAACTTTTTTGAATGGTAAAATAACATGATGCTTTTAATAACGACATTGTTAATTTGTCTTTTAGAATGTTTTCAACTTGACTCAAATTATTAAGTCAATTGGGTTCGAGATATTATAAACTTTCCCAATTTATATTAATTAAAGTAATATTAAAATGTAGGGTGGTGTAATTTTTATATATTGACATACCTCGACCAAAACCTATCATGGATCAGTAGTTTTACCACACTTTAAATTAAAATTCACTGTAAAAGCAGTACTCACTGCCCTACCATATAATCGATATTAAGTTTGAATTAGGCTTATAATTAATGTAAAATCTTAAAGAAATAGTAACCACATAGTATCGCTAAGGGCCCTTGCAGCACTGAACTAAAAGAATACTTTTTCATGTTGTCGTTGTCCTTGTGCACAACACTGCTTGCTCATACTAGCAATCAAAGGAAGCATGTGATGTTAACTATACCTGCTTATACTCAAACATTCATATATCTACGCAATATGAAATATGCTCGTTGTTCAAACTTTTTTTTCAACACCAATGCTGAAGAAGATGGGACCATAGAAAAACAAAAACTATTTTGAATATCTTCTACTTTTCAACATCTGAAAGGTAATTTTGAAACTCCAAACGTCAAAACCAAATCCTCAGAGTGTAAGAACAAAAACCCGAACATGTATCGTAGCCTGGCCTTAAACTCAGATTTATTTATATTTTAAATTACACGCATGTAAACAAAGACTCTAGTCTTTTATAAACAATTACTGAATATTAAAATTGATTTACATGTACCTTACCTGCTCTGTTATCCGTTCCTGTCAATATTTACATCAGCACACAAACTTAAGCACGGTAAATACAAGTTCACTAGAATCCATCAAAATCAATTCTGCTACTAAATTTTGCTCAATCAGTTACAACCACCAGGGCCTTGGGAATTGGATGAGTGTATATATATAAATATTGGGCTGAACTTAAATCTACATCAGTTTAGTTAATTTGCCCAGAGAAAATTTTAGGAATACACCTTAAAAAATCATCAAGAGCACCTATGATTATAAATTTGGCATTCAGTAAGACCTGCAAAAGACACTTCATATGAGCACTCTTGCAGACTTGTATTGTATGCAACATATATCTCTACAAGTACATGTCTTCTACCCGTCATGAAGATGGCTCTATGAGAAAAACACAAGCCTTCAGCCCAGAACTAGATTCTACTAAATAAATAAAATAAAAATAAACAGAAAATAGTAACAAGGAAAGAAAGCCTACTATGGAACTCTTGGTTTCTGTTCTATCTAAATAGTATACAAAATTATATTTACTTCTCAAGACCAATTAATTTGTTCCCTCGAAGATAACATTGGACAGGAGAAAACAATAGAAAAACTGACTAATATGACAAATTGACAATCTCTATATACTCAGCAAGGAATTTAGGAGATTCAAACCAAATCCCATGCAGCCACTACAATGTATCTTACTATCTCAATTTCTACTGTTGTTGGAAATAGCTCACAGATATCCAATATGCTTAAAGATTCCCTGTGACACAAATGTTTCAGATTTCCTGTATCAGTTACTGGTAAAAATAATCATATAATTACAAATAAGCAGCATTAAGCATACATGTATGACATTACAAAAGAATAAGGTCATCCCAACAGATAGAATCTCTATCCCTGATTAGGAACATGTGTAAAAGTTATAAATTCAACAGCAATTGGCTAGTTAGAATAATTAGTGAAGCATCCAATTAAACGAACATTTCGCTAAACCACGTGATTTTCAAATGTGGTAAAAAAAATATTAAACAGCTTTGTGAAAATTTAAGTTTCAACCAAAGATTTCTGAACTCAAACTAAAATATTATTTGAATGAATTCTAAACCATGTTTTAAATCCCAAATATAGGCATGTAGTGACGGTACCAAACACGCGATAGCAAGATGCGTGATATCGGGATAACTACTATATTGAATTTTTTATGTAGTCTTCTTATATAATATGATATCAATCGCGTATCACGGAAAATACTGGAAAGCCTATAATGCACAACATCATATGGCTGATTGCGTCACCAACATGCAGAACTTATATGGCTGCTGAAAAATAATATATATCAATTATACATGTGTAAAAAACTAAGTTATGTGCAAATAAGAAAAATGTATTAAAATTTGCTTAATATTAAGGCAAAAGTTCAATTGGCCACAGTCTTGCTGGATATGACATGAGGATGCAGGAGTATGCTCCGACCATGACAGGCATTCTGCCCACAACAGTGGACAGAATTGCTGTCACGAAGTCAAGGAATTCCCCAATGCAACAGCAATGTAGAACCGCCAAAACGGTCATTTAACGATGCTGATATGATATATAAGTTCTGAAAAAATTATTAAAACTACTAACAAAGAATTAACAGTAAACAAAATATACAAGTAAATACCAACAAAACTCATACAATTGTCCTATATATGAATCATCATGTTGGTTTTTGAGTTTTTCAACACTGACAAGTATTCTAGGAAAAGAGAAATGATTTCCTCCTCAAAATTGTTGAGTTGGATGTGTCCGGGTGCTTTGGAAAGTGTGTGGAAGTGGACTTGTGCTAAAAGAAGTCCAAACCCAACAGGTTATAACAAGTTACAAAGGTCTAAAACCTCCCATCAATCCAATCCAATAATTTTATGCAAAAATCTAGCTTGGTAACAAATATACATACATAGAAGTCATACACAGACACCCCAGTGGTTGCACAAAGAGAGAGAGAGAGAAGGCTGCTTACTACGTTGTGAATTGTGATACTATGAAACTTTGCACGTCTTCCTATTATGGCCAAGTCCCTTGCATTTACTACACTGAAGCTGACGTTTAATTATGTCTATTGATTCAACTTGCTTTATTTTTGGCCGACCTGGAGGGCGCTTAGTTGGTGGAGGGGTTACCATAACTAAAGCAGCGGATTCACCCTGTACAGGTGGTCTGTCAACATTTGGCACAGGGTGAATAGACTCTGCATATGTTAATTGATAATTCTCAACTGTGAAGTATCTTGAACAATAATCATATGGACTCCTACCAACACATTCAAAGACAGCAATGGCATGACAGCATGGTACACCAGTAAGTTGCCACCCCTTGCAGCTGCAATCCCAGTTATCAATATCAACAATATCAACAGATTCTCCACGGACCTCAAATGTGCTACCTTCTGAGAACAATACTTGAAGTGAACGAGCAACTAATGTTTCCTTTTGTAGCAAGTCCTCCTTGGATGGTGTCAGCTTTGTAATCCATTGATTAGATTCTACACGTCGTGCATAAATTGTTTCCATCATCTTACCTCGCAATGCATCAATCATTTGAGTAATTGGCAACTCATGTGCCTCTGACACCCAACTGTAGAACTGCTGTCCAAAATTTGATGAAAGGAGATTATACCTTGCTCCATTAAAGAATGCATTTGCCCAGTGGCCTGGCTCACTTTGGATCACCCAATCATAGGCCTCCGGAGAAATACCTTTAATGTTCTCAATACTACGTTCAAAAGTATCCAATTTGGGGGCATAAGCAGCAGCGTAAAAATCATTAATCATGAACCGTCTGGCCTCATGAGAAAATTGTCCCTTCAAGTCCTTGTTCAATTTCTCAGCAAGGTGACGTAAGCAATAGCTATGGTAGCATTTTTCAAATATATTAGACAATGAACTTTTTAGGCCATTTTGAAAATCTGCAACAAATGTGATCTGCTCAGATGTTGATATAGCTAATTTCAGTTCCTGCAGAAACCAGCACCAATTGTCCTCAGTCTCGGTGTCTACAACTGCAAAGGCTACAGGAAAAATGCCATCATTTCCATCCACAGCAGTGGCAGCCAATAATTCCCCTTGGTACTTTGAGTTTAAAGGAGTTCTGTCAAGGAAAATGAGAGGGCGACAACCTAGCTGAAAACCAGATATTGAGGCATGAAATGCTACAAAGAGACGATGAAAACTTGAGTCCTCCTTAGTTGTGAATGTTGCAAAACTCCCTGGATTGGTCTCTTTTATCTTCTCACAGAAAAATGGCAACTGCGTATAAGCCTCTTTATAGGAGCCTTGAAGCTGCTCTCTAGCAATTTCTTTTGCACGCCACGCTTGAGAATAATTTAACTGAATCCCATATTCCCGCTTTATGTCATCAGCAATATCCTTTGGCTTGTAATTGGGTGAATCTTTCAATTTCTCTTTTATAATACTTCCCACCCAACCCCTAGTTGCTCGATACCCAGCTTTAACGGCAGATCCTTCACAAGTATGATTGTAGTGCATTTTCTTAATGCAAATCAACTGTGTGGTAGACAACCTAGATGCATATATTCTCCAAGGACAGCCTTGACATTTACATTTGACGGTGACACGATGACTATCATTTTTCTTATATTTGTAATCAAACCCGTGAGCAATAGAGTATTTATGCAATGCTTCACGAAATTCACTAAAACTATTGAATCTTTGGCCCACACCAGTGATGGTATTTTCCCACTGCTGTGCAGCTTTACGATGACTGTCATCATTACCCCCAGAACAAATAGAACGTGCAGAGACATCATTAGCTACATCAACCTCTACTTGATCAATGCATTGGACAGCATCAACAATGACATCAATAGGAGCAACGACAGGAACAACGGTTTCCGACACAGTTGTCCTGCTTGACCTGAAAAAACAAGTGTTCTAAAAGATTTTCAAGTGCACATGTGAATGCATATGATCCTAGCAAATCCTATGGCCATCCTTATTTGGTCGCAGCCACAGCATCCACTACTCTTCAACATCCTAACTTCTACATTTATGGGCCAAATCAAAGTATATAAATGATAAATGTCTATCAGTATGAGGGGAAGTCTACGTAAGAATGAGTGATAAACAAACAGACTTGTGAAAAACTACCTACTACCAGGCATGTTGGAATTGTTATTTCGAGCAGCTCCTTCCTCTGACATAATAAACACATCAACCGTGTTAACATCCCCAAGGAAACTGACCATGCGTTGCAAATCCTTGTCTTTAGACACTGTAATAAGTGTTTTCTTGTTGCCAGGAAGAAAGTACTTGATAATCATCGTATTTATATTGCAGTTGAACATTTCTGCTATCTCTGACTTAAAATCACTTAAATTCGTCTGCTGATCAATGTCTATTGCATACGCATCCCCTCCACTGTATGACAATAATCCATCCTTGTCTGTCACAAACTCACCTCCTGATTGACATATAGCAATAACTTTCCTCGTAGCCATGGCCTGCCAAGTAGCAAACATACAATTATTATTTTTATACAGGTGACAAAATGTAAATGTCAATGTCATGACTCATAACTCATAACTCAAAGTCAAAATATCTGGGTAGATGATAATAAACAGTGAAAGAGGTCCTTACCTTTAGTGTTCTGAACTCCTTACTGCAAGGGCCTAACAAGTAAATTTCACTGCGCAGAATCCACAGTCACGTTTGCTATCAAATTTCAGAAGCGAAACACACATTAAACAAGAACAACACAATCTACCATAGAAAGTTTAGATAAAATTCCAATCTCTATAACACAAATAGCAGGAGCTTCCCAAATGAAAAACCAATGATTTAGAGAGAGAGAAAAGTTTATTGGTAGAAAGAAAAAACAGTGAACTAAAATATTATTTTGATATCAAGAAAGCAGAAGGGTGCTGGAAAGGATGTAATTGAAATGAAAAGAGAAAGAAAGGAAGAAAACCCTATCGGAGAAGAAGAAGAAAATATGAACCTAAAATGCAGAATGGAGGGTGCAATTGCTGGTATTGATGTTTGCAGAGATGATGAGAGGGAAGCAATCGGAGAGAGAAAGGTCTGTTCTTTTGTGTTTACCCCCAAATTGTCTAAAGCCTCACTCTACGACGACGTATTGACAATGTCACTTCACATTCACCTTTGTGATTTGATTTCCACAAAACACCATTCTACTTCTTTTTATTACAATCATTCTACCCTAACAAATCTTTTTTTTTTCCTTTTTAGGGTCAAATCCATTTCAAATAATTTCTGATTTTTTTTTCAGTTTATGATTATTTTTTTAAAGTGACTTTTTTATATTATATAAAACAACAGTTTTGTAAGAAGTGATTGTTTTAGAGAAGAAAAATATGAGGAACATAATTAACTTAATGTAAAATAAAGTGTGAAAAAGGAACAAATTTATATGGTTTAGAAGACAAAATGTCTAAATTCTTTTACCTGTATATTTAATTTTATTATAATTTTAAATAATTAAATCTTGTATATGTAATAAAAAAATTCTTATGTTGAATTCCTCCTGGTTGGATTAGCGTCAATGTTGGTGATTCAATCATCGAAAACTCATAACATGGACTTTAAGGCTAACTTATATATTATAATTTTTGTGCGTGATAATAGAAATTGGGTGGTCCGAACCCGATTGTGGGTGGAATAGAAGAATAGAACCACTTAGCCTCTATGGCTCTGATACCATATTAGAAGATGAGTTTTAAGTCAAATTCAACCCCACAAAACCGACTTGTCATGTGAGGTTTGCACCTCACTTATATATTATAATTTGACCTTATCTCTAGTCGATATATGACTTCCAACAAGATTATCAATAAATTATTCTGTATTAAACAATTTTTTTTATTCATAAACAATATTTTATCATTTAAATTACGTATTTTGGAAAAATATTTCAATTTTTATTATTAAAATTAAAAAATATTATATAAATGTCAATTATATTACAAGTCCTAAATACTTAGCATTTTACTAATTTTATTTTACAATGAAAATATCTAGTTAATTAAATTAAATATTTAATAGAAATATGCTTAAACTGACTTAAAGTTCATGAAAGTCAGAAAAACGGTTGTTTTGTGTGTAAAACTTTGGCTTTAGGCAGAGTTTACTCATAAAACTTATAAAAACTGAAAAAATATATCATAAATTTAGACAGGCTCTACTTGTGAAACTTATGGAAGCACAATAACTTTAAGTGTAAATCTTTTTAGACTTTAGTAAAGTTTACTTGTAAGATTTATGGAAGCAAACAAGATTACTCTATTCTTAAAACTTTGGGAGGTTTTTACTCGTAATGCTTATAGAAGTAGACAAAGTGACAATATGTTACGAGGACAAAACATATTGTTTGGATATTACTTGGTTGTAATTCGACTTGGTGAATTTCATGGGTATAATTTTGTTTTCATAGATTTGAATACTGAGGGTAAATATGATTATTGTATATTATAGTGTGTTTTGTTCTCGTTAGCTTACCTTTTGCTTATTTATGCTTGTACAATGATCGTATAACTTGTGTTGTTATAAGAGAGTATATGATGTTACAAACAATGCTGAAATTTTAAAATTTGGAATTGAAATAAAACTTTGTTTCCAAATGATTTTAACTTTGTTTATGTTGAGTAATAAAGTTTTTCTTAGTTTCATATTTAATAATGGTAGCAGAGATTATATTTCTTTACGTTAATAAAAGATTTAAAAGAGATTATATTTCTTTACGTTAATAAAAGATTTAAAAATAACAAGTAGAAAATACTACATTTTATTTTGTATGCATATTCATATTATAAACTTATACCTTGTTTGCAAACTATTTGAGTCACATACAATAATTCAATTTTTTTTATTGAATAATATTCTAAAAGTCGACCACGAAATTCTATTTATAGATTTAACAGGATTATGGTAAGTTAATTATTGTGGTACTTCGGTTTGTTAGGCTAAGTATTATATCAGAGTAGAAGGTTTACAATAATATTTAATTTGTTCAATATAAATTTTTAAGGTCAGTAATTTACAAGATTTATTCAATACGATTAACAAAGAGGCAAAATCTGAGAACAAGAATCGAAGGTCATTCGAGAAGATTTGTCAACTCAACCAAATATGTTAGTCCCGTTTGAATAACTAATTGATTGGATTGTGATATGTGTCATGCTTATAATATTTGTTTAATGTGTAAGTCTGATTGTGTAGCTTATTTTTGTATTTTGTGTTTGTGGGATGATTGTATCACTTATATTGATATACTAGAGGATATGATATTACAAACAATATTGAAAACCTCCATAGTGAGGAGGAGTGGTGGAAAACCTTTTGGAAGTTTTGAATGTATTTAGAATAATATTATTTTAAATTAAATTTTTTGAACAATATTTTAAATTTTGGAATTGGAATAAAACTTTGTTTTTAATGATTTTAACTTTGCACTTATGCTGAATAATATAGTTTTTTTAATTACATATTTAATGATGGTACTATAGGTTATATAAGTTAATAAAAAGTTTATAAATTATAAATAAGAAATACTACATTTTATTTCGTACGTATATTCATACTATAAACTTATAGTTTGTTTGCAAACTATTCGAGTGACATGCAATAGTTCAATTTTTTTTATTAAATAATGTTCTAAAACTTCTTTACCTAATGTTTTTTTTTCTATGATTGTGCTTCAATCAATTCTATTTTTTTAAAAGGAAAAAAAAATCTTATTAAACATTTCTATTTTAGAAAAACAAAAGAAATTAGATTAATATATTAATTCAAAACTCTTATATTTATTAATAATATGATTAAGATATTGTGTCTTTTTTAGTGTTGTTAAAACGGACCACCAGTCCAATCTCGCTCGGACCACCACAGGTTGATCATTTAGTGAGTCAAGTCAACTCGGTTCATTTATTAGCGAGCCAAAAAAATTCGAACTCAGCCGGCCCACCACTCGTTGATGGGTTAAACAGGTTGGCTTGTTGACTCACTTAATTACAAGTTTTTTTTCAATAAAAAAAATACATTTTTTTGTAATTCAAATTAAATAATTTCACTCTGAAATAATAAACTCCAAAAACAATTTAAAGTAAAAAAAATTAACATACAACTCAAATGTAGTCCAAAAGCAAACCAAAAAAATGAATAAATAAGTTTATAATATTGATAATTTTTGTATCACTTATCCATTTATAAGATTAAAGTCTTGAATGGATAAATTTATAATATTTTGCTTTCTTGAAACATCTTTTTTGTTATTCTCATTTACAATACGATAAAAAAATGTTAACTAATAATATTAAAACACAAAATAATAAATAATTAAATTAAACTAGCTCAGTTGGTTCACGGATTGTAACCCATTTTGATAATACTACTTTTTTAATACATATTTATTTTGTTTTCTTTCTTTTCTTTAGTGTGAGATGTTTTTATGATACTTGAATGTTTCTCCTTATATCTCTGCAATCTCATCCTCCATCTCCAAATACTATACATGCCTTTTCATATATTTTTTTTGGCTTAATACCTCTGATGGTCCCTATTTTTGTTAGGTGTGTTCGATTTGGTCCCAGTTTTTTTTCTGTTCAATGTTGTCTTAAAGAATGTAATTTTTGTTCAATTTAGTCTTTTTTGCAAACGGCGTTTAAATTGTTAACGGCAGTCCAGATGTGCACAAGATTAATGAGATGACATTTAACTTCTGCCACGTCACCATCTTCTTCAACCTTCAGCCCAAACAGAAACTGAAACCCTAGCGTCGTCACTAAACCCTAACGCCACCGCCGCTACAGAGATCGTCCAAAGTCACCATGTCGCCGTGAAGCCGCTCCTGTAGAGAACCATGGCAGCCATCACGCGCAACCTCCATGGCCACCACCATCAAAGTCACGATCTCCTTAGGCTGCCACGCTACCCAAATCACCTTCGCGCCTCCGCCATCATAGGATTTTCTCAAGCCGCCCACCCAAACCTCCAGAAACAGAGAAAGCTGAATCGCACCAGCCAAACCGCTAAGTCTTCATCGTCAATAATGTCGCAAACCACCCTAATCTCGAACTCCATTTGAATCTTCATTATCGCGCATTAGCCATGAATCATCCAAATCGAGAGCTTCATCGTCAGCGCGATAATCCTTGTCGTCGTCGCGCAAAGCTCCAAGGCCATCATCTTCTCCAACCTGTAGAGAACCACAACGAAATCCAGAAAAATCCCAAATCAAAGAAACCTAAAATTGCGCCGCTGCTTGCCTCCACCGGCCACCATGAGGGCTTTCTTACACAACTAGGTTCGTCTTCTTCATGCTACCATGAGCCGCACAATTCGCGAAATCATCCTCCATTGAAGCAAAACCGCGAGCAGCGTTTTCCTTCTTCTCGCGGCGCAGGCGCAGGAAGGTTTCCCCCAAATGCAGAACCCTAATTTTGGCTTGAAGGTTGAAGAAGATTGTGACGTAGCAGAAGTTAAATGTCATCTCATTAGTCTTGTGCACACCTGGACCGTCTGCTGTTAACGATTTAAACATCATTTGCAAAAAGGATAAATTGAACAAAAATTACATTCTTTAGGACAAGATTGAACAGAAAAAAAAAACGGGGACCAGATCAAACACACCTAACGAAAATAGGTACCATCACGGGTATTAAGCCTTTTTTTTAAGTAAAGATGCATCCGTGTGAGTGATAATGAGTCAATAATGATGACTCTCACTTTTGACCAACCAATTATAAATGAATTCCTATATATATCTCCATCCCCACCCCTTTTCACTTTACTCATTATTACTCTCTCTACTTCCATTCCCTTACTCTGTCTCTATTTCATTGTGCTTTGTGGTCTCGATGGTGGTGATCCCGGTGGTCGAGTGGTCCTGGTAGTGATTGTTACGGTGGTTGTGGTTTGTGTCGTTCATGAAAGTCATTTCTTTGAGGTTTTAAGGTGTTATTCGAAATAAGTGAAGTTTTAAGTTTAAAAAAACTCTTAACTGACTTTCGAAAGTTGCTTAAGGGGTTGTCGAATTTTGAAAACTGATTAAAAGTCAAACATTTCCAAATACGTTGATTCTTAATCCGGTTAAGAGTTTGTCGACAAAACCCAGTTAAGGGTCCAACATATTTCGAAATATGTTTTAGCCTTAAATTTTAAA